CCAGTAGTACGAGAATGCAAACTGCATATCCGTTGGCGAGCGCAGCTGTGCGACGATGTGCCGCCCACTCTGCAGGGAACGCCGCCTGCATCAGTCGCATGTGTGCCATGGCGTTTCGCAGGTGTGAGCGAGGGAGGGAGGGAGAGGCAAGCCACACCGCAAGCCCAGAACCAAACATCCAAAATTCAAGTGCAAACATGCAACCGCAAGTGTAAACATCTCACGCGTACAACCACACAAGCACAGAATCACACAGCCACAAAATCACTCAATCACACAAAACAAATACAAGCACACACTCCGACAGACAGACAGACAGACACTCAGGTAAGAAATCACACAATCCCCCCCCCACACATGGATCTCACCTGCATGTCCTCGACAATGCGTTTGTCGAGAAAGTGGGGCATGTGGGCAATCACTTTTCGTGTCGTGTACCCAAACTTGTGGTTGTACAGCTTGTTCACATACTTGAGCGAGTCTGCAAATGTGTCTTTGAGTCGGCGCGTGTGCCACGTGCGTGTGTCATCAGCTTCATCCTCATCCTCTTGCGATTGGTGCTGCTGCTGCTGTTGTTGGTGATGTTGCTGCTGTGTTCTTCGTGCTTGGTGTGTCTGCTGCTGCTCGTGTGCGTGTGCTTGGTGCGTCTGTTGTTGTTCGTGTGCGTGCTGTTTCTCCCAGGGAAAGATAGCGGACTGGACGAGCAGCTGTTGTTGGCACACGAAGAAAAACACGTACATCAATATTCGAAACTACTGAGGGCACGCGCGCACAGTAACGCAGATGCTGACACACGCACGCACACACACACACACACACACACACACACACACACACACACACACACACACACACACACACACACACTGCCGGTGTTGCTATCTTCGCAGCGCAACACACACACACACACACGCACCCCCCCCCCACACACCTTGTCTCTGAGGTCTTGCTGCTGAACAGGGTCTGCGGGCCAGCGCTGTCCTGTCCTCAGTTCCCACTCGTCAATTGATCGCTGCATGTCCTCTGGCAACCGCACCTGGCAGGAGCAAACACACCGTTCAGTTAGCACACAGCAACAAACGCTGTACACATACACACATCACAACTGCTTCCAAACACCACAAGCATCCCACCCTTCCCTCCTTCTCCCAACTCCACCAACAGCACCGCGACCAGGACCTAATAGTGTCTCACCTCCTTCTGTTTCCGGAGCGCCACATCGTCCGCTGCACGCGCGTCTTCGACGGGCACCGCCATCCCATTTCGCTCAACAGTCACCTGTCCAAGCCCATACACCACATCCCCGTCACCAGCACTGGCACTAGCACCATAAACAACACCCTTGCCATGGTCATCGTTGTCAGCACTCCTGGATCGATTGCGTTGACCGCTGAAGCGTAACGGCTGCGGTCGGCGCCTGTGCTGCTGCTGCTGCTGGTGGTGGTGGTGGTGGTGGTGGTGGTGGTGTTGGTGGTGGTGGTGGTGGTGTTGGGATGATGAGGATGACACGACGGAGGACGCGAAGCGGAAGCCAGTATGCCACATCCACGCGCTGCCCATCTCGCGCGCTGCTGACGAGGTGTCACCGTCCTCTGCACGACCTGACGATGTCGATACAGATGACAACAGCAGCTTCCGGCTGCGGTCGTGTTGACGGTCGGATGCGTCGCTGTCACCGCTGTCACCGCCTTCGCCTTCATCCCGTGCTGTTGGGTTCTTGGCCAGCATGTTCAGCACCCCCAGCAGGTGCCGTCTGCCGCCCCGGTCGCGCTCATCATCATCCCCACCACCATCCTCATCTTCGCTCTCTTGCTCGGCTCCTTCTGCCACAGCCTCCAGCCCAACAGCAGCAGGAGGTGGCGTTGTTGTTGTTGTTGTTGTTGTTGTTGTCGTTGTTGTTGTTGTTGTTGTTGTTGTTGTTGTTGTTGTTGTTGTTGTTGTTGTTGTTGTTGTTGTTGTTGTGAAGAGGAATCTAAAGTCGACGTCTGCTCGATTGAGCAAGTCGTCGATGCTCGTGCGGTTCAGGGCTGCCTGCAGCAGGTGGTACTTGTACTTGTTGTATCCCTGATGCGAGTGATGCACAGCGCGCATATGCATGAGAAGTTGCACGCAAGCACTTGACACGGGGGGGGGGGGGGGGGAGGAAGAACACAAACACATCGGTACCGGGCATATTGGTCGAAGAAGCAGCAGGCAGGGTGCAGCAGGCAGGGTGCAGCAAGTCGGCGAGCACGGATGTCGTGTTCACCTTTTGTGTCAAATCACCGCTTGCCAATTCCTCATCGAGGCGGTGCAGCGCAGTCGAGATCTGAAGCGGAACGCAATTTGGGGGGGGGGGGGAGGGAGAGGAGTCGATGAGATGAGGTGAGCAACAACAACAGCAATATGTACAATCACACATGCACACACACACACATGCACACACACACACACACACACACACACACACTGCGTGGTCATACCTGTGGCGGCAGCTGTTTGTCATCCTCCCATGCTGGAGGGTGCAGCATGGCTCGTTTTGCCATCGTGGTGGTGGTCGTTGTGGTTGTGGTGGTCGTTGGAGTGCGTGTCGTCGCGTTTGTGTGCGTGCCATTCTGCACGTCCCAATAGTTGACAATGTCTCCCGTGCTCACCCTGTGACAACAAAGCAAAGCGCACGAATCACGTGGCCGTCAACACAACACACGCAAGCAGTCAGTCTTAGACAACGGCACTCTCCTCGTGTTGCTTTCCCAATGTCCCTTGACCATATATGTGTGTGTGTGCGTGCATATACCTGATGCCTGCACCTGTGCTCTCCTTGCTGTCAGCACCACCATCAGCAGCCTGTTCAACATCTCCTTGCTCCATCTCATGTGGCGCTGGTGGTGCTACTGTTGCCACGGCGATGGTGAGGTGCACGGGCGGTGCATTGTGTCCGTCGGCGCCTGTGCTCTCAAGCGTCACCGTCGTAGTCGTTGGATCAACGTTTGGTCGAATCACAACGAGCAGAACCTTATGTGGCCGAAAAGGGGGGGAGAGAGAGAGATGTGAAAGAGGAACAGTGGAGTGAGCATGTGTGTAGTGGACCAGCAGAGACGAATACGATTGTCAAATATGACACGCACTATCCTTTCGCGTACACACACACACACACACACACACACACACACACACACACACACACACACACACACACACACACACACACACACATACACACACACACACACACACACACACACACACACACACATTTGCGAGCTTGTTGATGACGACGGCTGCGATTGCGTTGGTGTTGGTGAAATCACCACCGGTCACGGTGCTGTTGATAAAATGCGGTGCGAGTTGCGCGTACACAGCACGCGGTCGCTCCCCCTTGTTGGTCGTGACGGTATTCGTAATGGTGATGCGTGAGAAACAAGGGGCACACATGCGGCCGCCATGTGGAGGCCGGTCAACCGCTCACAACACGTTTGCCCATGTTTGCATACGTGTCCACATACGCATACGTGTGCACATGTGATAACACACACATACACACATGTATTCACACACACGCACACATGGATTCACACACACACACACACGCACACATGGATTCACACACACACACACACACGTTGACTCACATCGACGATGATGACGGATTGGTTGAGAGACGTCGCGTTGATGGGCCATGGCAGCTCCGGCACAAGTTCCCAAATCTGACCAGCGAGGGACGTGCACGCGTGTGAGCGAGCGTTGCGTGCATGTGGTGCGTACATGATCATGCATCGAATTACTCAACGCAGCAACGGGTGTCCTGCCTCATGCCTCCTGAGGTCACGACCACCACTGGGCGGTTGGGGATCAGCCCTCACCATCTCCATGCCACAGTCGCCTGCATCGTATCCACACTCGGGCACATTGCATGCCTGACACCAAGACACGAGACACACACACACACACATGCATGAAGGAACAGTGTGTTAATGGGTTGTGACAATCAGGATTGCACCAATACACACATGCACAGCCACACCCGGGACAACACGGGACAGAAACACCCCCAGCAGGCGAGCATGCCACCTCCCTCCTTACCGAATCGCAGTATCTGTCGCCGAGCCAGTGGTCAGCGCAACCGACAGCACAAGATGGAGCGACGTGTGAGGCCGTGTACCCCATCCCCGCAGGCGGCGCTGGCTCCCCCTCCTGCCGCGATTGAGGGAGTTTGTGTGTGTATGTGTGTGTGTATGTGTGTGTGTGTGTGTGTGTGTGTGTGTGTGTGTGTGTGTGTGTGTGTGTGTGTGTGTGTGTGTGTGTGGGAAGCAGCATATGTTGCAGGTGATGGTGCAAAGTGTGAACGCAGGCAGTTGTCAATCTGTGTCACTCACGCGTCCTTTGCAATCCTCCCCGTCAAAATCGCACTCGGGAACGTTGCACGCCGCGTCACAGTAGTTGTCGTCTGAACAGAGTCGCACAACGACAAAGTGTGAGATGCACACCCAGAGCACACAGACACACAGACACACACACACACAGACACAAACAGACACACACGCTAGAGAGCACGGGGCGGGAAACATACTGATCCAGTTTGAGGGGCATCCCTCTGCACAGTTGGGAACTGGCCACGCCAGAACAACCTGACGCGCGGGACAAAGGAAACAGCTGCCGCGATGAGAGGAAGCAAAGACGCGATAAAGGAAATGCACCCACGGCACACACACACACACACACACACACACACACACACACACACACAAACAGACACGCACGCACGCGCGCGCAGATAGCAGCAGCACCTTCTGGCCGCGGGCGTGCGAGTAGAAGTCCTCTGGCCAGACATCGAGGCCAAACATCACGTCGTCGTTGAGATACAGGAAACGATCAGAGAGACCTGAGAAGCGAAATGGGGATAGACAGTCAAACACGGTGTGAGGGTTAGAAGGTGGGTTGCATGGTGGAAGCAGCACGGACGCATACAACCAAGCACAGAAGTTCAACGCAACAAGCGCACGCATATACAATCACGAACACACACACACACACACACACACACACACATACACACACACACACACGCGCACCTGGAATTCTGTGGATGTGTGCCTCGATTGCCGGGGAAGAGAACGTGGGGAGATGTGACGTGTTGGCGAATATATCCTCGTGCGTCACTGCAGTGTTGGCGGCGGCAGCATGATGGTGTGGGATGTGCTGCCCGGTAAATGGACGCAACACAAGCAGGGGCTGTTCGCACAAGTACAGCACGAAATGGACAACGCACAAATACAGCAACACACAGCAACAAACACACACACACACACACACAAACACACACCAAACAAACAAAAGCCTCTCTATAAAGTGTGTGTATGTGTGTATGTGTGTATGCGTGCGTGTGTGTGTGTGTGTGTGTGTGTGTGTGTGTGTGTGTGTGTGTGTGTGTGTGTGTGTGTGTGTGTGTGTGTGTGTGTCGTGACAGCGGACCAATGCGGAGGCGCGGGTGGTCGAGGTTGAGCCACGACGGAATTTGGCCATTCGTCACAATGTACACGTTGCTGCCGTGATGGCGGGGATGGAGAGAAGGGGGAGGGAAGCGGTGTTGGGGATTGTGATGGCGTGGTGGTTCGTGCCAGTTTCAAGTGGAAAGAGGGATAAAACTGCACGCACATATGTCTGAGCAGCATTCTCATCATGCAAGGTAACACCATTGCTCCATCCTCCTCGTAGTCGTCATCATCAACAGCATCATCAACAACAGTCGTCCTGACTCACCGGACCCAGGGCGCGTGCATCTCGATGGATCGAAGCGAATACAGCAATTCAGAGTTGTCCTTGAACCTGCGGCAGTGTCGTAGCCATGATGACGTGAATGCTTGGGGGTGAGCTGACACAACCACCACTTCCTTCCACAAACGACCAGACCCAGCCACACAAGCAGCCTGAGGTAGCCGTGACATCAACTGGGCTCAGCGTTCTCCATCTTGTCACATCGCACCTGCTTGCAGTCATGGAGTCGTCGACGGCTGTGGTATCGCCACCATCCGCGTCCTCATCATCACCAGCGCTCTCACCACGCTGCAGCCGCCGCACCGCCTCAAAGGAGAGACCTGCGCACACACGCACATGGGATTGATGAGCACGTCAAGCTGCAGCCGCACAAACAAACACACAAACCAGCCAGCCAATCAACCTCACCAAAATACAATCCAAAACAATCCATCAAACAAACAAATCAACCCGCAAGCCACAGCCAATTGAGCTAGCCTTACCAGGAACGAAGCCGACGTGGGAGACGGGAACGATGTACAACATGTGTTCGTGGTGAAGAGCTGTCGTGTTGCGTTCGTCAACATCAGCAGCGGCCATGCCTGCGTGGCTGCCAACACCATTGCTCACATCCTGTTCACTCGTTTCACTTCCAATATCATGCGCCAGGCCTTCATTTCTGCCATCCAACGCTGCCTCCAAGCCTTGCTCCACATCATCCATCCACACCCACACATCACCGTCGCCACCATCATCGCCATCATCGCCACCATCACCACCATGGGCATGACGGCGGATGATGGGGGCTGCTGCTGCTGCGAGCGCATCGACGGCTGACCAGCGCAGTGCAAAGCGGACGAGCGCAATGCGTGGGGAGAGGCCACGCTTTCCTTTCAGCTGTTGTCGGTGATGGCCGCGGTGGTGGTGGTGGGATGTGAAATTGGGCAGTCGCTACGTGTACACAGCACACAACACAACACAACAAACACACACACACACACAACACAGCACACAACACAACACAACAAACACACTGCACACAACACAACACACACACACACACACATATGCACACGCACACACACACATACACATACACGCACACCTCTACGGACTCGACGGCGCCAAACCGCTGCATGAGTGACGTCAACTGTGCCCGCGTCATTGTTGGTGGAGCATCAGGTACCATCACAGTGCGATAGGCAGCCAGTCCAAACGAAACGTTGTACGTGTGGTGTCCGCTGTCGTCGTGCTGACGAGGGGAGATATCGCCGTCAAAATGTGATGGCACACTCATCGTTGCATTGACACCTGCACTCGTGCTGTTGTCACCGACGGTGCTCTCCGGCACATCACCTTCACCACCACCATCACCATTGCCATGCTGTTGTCGTGGTTGCACGCCGAAGCGAAGCGGTGCGGGCTGCAGTCCTTCAAACGTTGTGTTTCCAATCAAGTACACGGGCCCGAAGGACAGCTCTGTTGGTTCAGGAAGGTCCACAAGGTCCTCATCGGGAGCATAGAAAGAGTCCACCTGTGGTGAATGACCTCGAAGTAGGACGTGCTGATGGCGACACCGCCTCGCTGCTCCCGCGCTCGCAAACGTCACAATGCCAGCAACCTGGCACAGTACGTGTGTGTGTGTTGTGTGTACGCGCGTTGTGTGTATGTGTGTGCATGAGTGTACGCGCGTTTGTGTGTGTTGTTATGTGTTGTGTGTTGTGTGTGCGTTGTGTGTGTGTGTGTGTGTGTGGTGTGTGCGTGAGTGAAAATGGGGAGGCAGCAGCGACAATAACACGGACAAACACAGCTGCACACATACGGCCTTACACGTACGCCAAACACAGACCCGCATCGTCGCCACCGGCTCACCCGCTGCCGTGTGCTTGTATCATCTTCAACTCACCTCAAGGGGGTCAAGATGTACGGAGGAAACATTCCCGCATTGGGCGTCAACAGCTGCCGCCACCTCGTTTTCGCGCGTGCCGATGGGCAGAGCGGTCGTGTGCAAGTTGGAGACGACAAGCGACAGAACATCGACAACACGCAGCTCCGTAACTGGTGGTGGTGGTGGTGGTGGAGGTGCAGGTGGCACCTCCTCGTTCTCCCCCAAGTTGTGGTGCTAACGGTTTTTGAGAGAGCGACAGAGCACAGTCTCTGTTTTGTGAGATAGATGGAAAAGGCAGAAGAGGATAGCAAGGCGTGGCTACTACGACACTGTTGCTGTTGTACAAGTGCACGCCATCATGACTGCCAATAATCTCACCGAGTCGATCTCCGTTGTGTTGTCAACTTGCTGCGCTGGCCCTGTCTCGTTGGCGGCACCTTCTTCTTTCAGCCGGCTGCGTAGGCTATCCAAGTTTGCAATGAGCTGGCAGTGGCGGGTGAGAGCATTGATGAGCGTGTGATGAGCGGTATCGACACAGCACCTGCATGACGCGCTCATCTGTCATCCACCAACAAAGCACCCAGCTGGAAGCACACCGTAGAACGCGCACGTTTGCCCTCGAGCTCACGGCTCCTTAATCCCCTTACCTTTGGGTCGGAGCCGTTCACCCATGTGTACACGACGTCGATGGGCAGTGGTGAACACACGTTGTCTTGGAAGTTATTACCCACGATGTTATCAGCAAACAAACCAAACCTGCGGGGGAAGGGAGGATGTGCAAGTGACGTCAGTAACAGCTGCCAGTGCTAAAGCCCAGTTTCAACGTGCATGCATGTGGGCACAGCAGAGACATGCCAGGTGGTGCAGGCATCAGCTCAGCTCACTTGCTCGTGTATGCATTCCGGCTCCATATCAGCGAGTGCTCTCCTGTGACGAGGCAGCGTATTGGTGGCAGCACAAATGCCAGTGCGCAGATGGCAGCGCAAACGGTAGTGCGCAGCGAGCAAGAGCAGGTCAGCACAAGCACAGGAAGGACAAAGCGGGTCAGCGCAGCAAGCAAGCAACAAACGCAAGACCGCCACAAGCTCGGGGGCAAGCGAGCATGCGGGCGTAGCAAGGCAAGGCCATGCGGCACATGGAGGGCCGTCTGTCAATTGTACCGCTTGCTGACCTGCGTGGAAGACAGCCAGGATGGCAAGATAGAGCACCGCCAGCAACAGTGCCGTGGAGTACCGAGACGCCAGTGCATGGTACACTCTGTTCTCCACCATCCGCTTCCACGCACCTAGCATGGTGGGAAGGAATCCTGCAAGCAAGCAAGACCCACAAAAACAAGCGTGAGCTCCCTCCCTCTGTCTCTCTTTCGGTCACACACTCACACTCCCACTCCTGTTGTCTACCACTGTCCACCACAACCCCAAACTCTATCAACCACCTCAGCACCACGACCAGCACTTGAGCGCGCACGTTGTTGCTTGTTGTCCGTATCGCTGCCACTGTCCGGAAACTTTGTAGAAATTGTCCATTACTTTTCTTCAACATTGCCTTTGTTTTTGTTTCTCCCTCTCTCCTTTCACGACAACCAACCACCAACCACAACAGCTCTTTGTTTTGCTTGCTGTGTGCATCGACGTGTGTGCGTGTGTGCGTGTGTTGCTTGACGGCGTGTACAGATCCATCACATCAAATAAGATTGTGTCGTTTTGCTTGCTTTAGCTTGTTGCGCTATCATTAGCTCAACGCAGCTCAGCTCAACTCAGCTCAACGCAGCTCAACGCAGCTCAACTGTGCACTTTGGTGGTGGTGCAAGTACGCGCAAGCATGGCAGACGAGGAGTTTGAGGGCTTTGGGTTTGACGAGGAGGAAGACCACGGGTTTGGGGATTTCGGGGCGGAAGCAGAACAGATGCCAGAGCCAGAGACGGGCGCATCTGAGTCGGTTGCGCGGCAGGCGGATGCAGCACCTGGCGAAGGCGCACAGGCAGTGAGCGAGACGCCCACCCCCTCAGAGGCGACCACAACAACAAGCAACGGCGAGGCGCAGGCAGAGTCTGCCACCTCCTCAGGCGATGTGTTGGACTCCGTGGGCCACGGCGAGGACGTGCGGCTGGAGCGGTCTGGATGGCTGCGAGTTCTGGAGCCTCGCAAGACGCTGTCGCGTCGTGGCGGGTTGAAGGAGCGGTGGTTTAACCTCCAGGACGGCGTGCTCAAGTACTCGTCCTCGGTCACGTCCAAACCCATCTCCACCATCGACGTGGGCAAGATCACCTCCATTGTCGAGCACCGGGAGCAGCCGGAGGCGTTTACCTTGATCATGGACAAGAAGTCGCTCGACGTCATTGCGCGCGAGGAGGCCGACGCACGCTCGTGGGTTGCGTCGCTTCGTAAGGCCCAAAAGTCCGTATCGTCCACTGGAAACTTTGGCGGCTCCACGGGCTCTGCTCTGCTCTTCTAGGCCACCGCGCGTGCGTGTGTGGGACAATATGTGTATGTACTCGTGCGCGTGCGTACGCGTCTGTGTGTACTTTTGTGTGTGTGTGTGTGTGTGTGTGTGTGTGTGTGTGTGTGTGTGTGTGTGTGTGTGTGTGTGTGTACGTGTGTAACGACACCCACGCTTGTGTTTTTCCATCTGTCAGCCTCCTTGTTCTTGTTGCTGTTCACGCCTGTATTACCTCCCCTCCCCCTTTGGTGTCCTATGCTCTTTTCGATCAACTGGCAAGCCATATTCAACCCCCTGACATGTGCGTTGGCACGTGTTGGTGATAGCTTCCCTCTTCCTTGCCCTGGCTCGCTTGTTTGTGTGCGTGTTTGCTTGTTCGTGTGCTGCCACAGCCGCCCGCTGCTGTTGCAGCAGACTTGTTGACCAATCAATACACAGCCTCAAATCAAACGCAATCATGTGCCGCTTTGTGTCTTGTGGATGCAACTGTCGGTTTCTTGTCCTCGCCAACACACGCACACACTTTGAATGAATGAGTTCATGACACACACACACACACACACTACAAGCTCATCGCACGACAACAGCACCCGTTGTTAAATGATCCCTTGCGACCAAGACTCAGACCACCATCTCCATCACAGTCACACAACCATTCCCACCGCAAACACACAGCCTGTGCAGGGGCGGCTACTGCTGGTAGTCAAGCAGCTCGTCGTGCTGGCTTGGCGAGCGAAAGCGGCGGAGGAAGCCAAGCGCAACCGCCTCCATATCCGTGCCCTTCACATCCATGTGCTCCAGCCGCAGCGTGTCTGCCGTCACCTCGTCGTCCTTTGTGTACTGCCAGATGAACAGTAATTGAGGGGGGGGGGAGGGGACAGGTGGTTGTGATGGTGAGCAGACGCAATAGCGGCAGCAATCACAAGTACGCAATGCAACAGTGGAAACGTCCGCAAGTGCATCGCACCACCACCACCACCACAACCACCACAACCACCAAACAGAATTAGCAGCGTGCGCCCACATACCCTGAGAATGTCCTCTGTGCTGATGATGGGGTCAACTGGCAGCTTGTCGCTGAAGCGCGTCAGCGGCCTGCACATGTTACGATACACATGCGAACACATGGCAACAGTGAACGGTGGGAGAAAGATGGGTGATGAGACCATCGCAAGAAGCTTACGCAAGATACACACACACACAGAGAGAGAGAGAGAGAGAGAGAGAGAGAGAGAGAGAGAGAGAGAGAGAGAGAGAGAGAGAGAGAGAGAGAGAGAGAGAGAGAGAGAGAGAGAGAGAGAGAGAGAGAGAGAGAGAGAGAGAGAGAGAGAGAGAGAGAGAGAGAGATTGAGACCGCACAACAGCACAGCACAACACAACACAATACAACACAACACGACACAACAACCACAGCGAGTCGCCCCCGCACCCCCAGCGTGACGTACAGAGCGAGCATGGAGGGGACGTGGATGGTCTTGTTTGGCTTGCGGGTGATCTGGTTGATGAAGGTCACAATCTCCTTCATCGTGTACTCGCGGGGGCTGAAAAGCAATTGAGTTGGGCGGGGGGCGGGGGACAGCGAAGGGAACATCAACCAACAGGCAACACGAGCAAAGCGGAGAGGTGACGAGGTGAGTGAGGGCGAGCATGAGAGAACAGCAGCAGTATCACCGCCACCATCACAATGCGAGTGAAAGCGATTGAAGGAACACAGCGCAGCGCCCACGGCCATCACATGGGACGGTGCGTATCAAGTGCTGGAGTGACGCACCCGACAAACTCGAAGACGCTGCCCTCGGCAATGGGATCGCCGACAGCAGCAGCAATGCCGTCAGCAACGTCCAGGCTCTAACCACCACGGTCGCGTGGAGGGAGAGGGGTTGATCATAGAAGGGGTCATTTGGTGAGGAAGGGAGGGGCAATGTGGTTGCAGTGTGGAGCGGGGGGAGAGGCACGGTCATGATGGCGTAAAGGGAGAGTGTGTGGGCCAGAGACGAAATGGGAGTGCGAGGGTGGTTTGGGGATGAAAAACAGCAAGGGCTGATCAGCGAAAGCAAGAAGGGAACAAGTCCATGCAGGGATTGGCAACTCACGTAGACAGGGCTCTTCTTGGCCTTGCCGCCATCAAACAGCGGCTGACCGCAAGGCAGGACGCGCAGACCTGGAGGAGCACATGCATGCAATGATGAGATTGGCGACAGCGAAGTGGTGGTCGTCACACAGACAAGACAGGCAGACGACAGGCAGGAAGACAGGCAGACAAACAGATAGCATCCAAACAAACATACGGGCATGCAGATTGACAGACATACAACACATGTACATGCGCTCACCTGCAAAACGGTTGAGGAAGCGGTCCTCGTATCCGAAGATGTGGCTGGGGCGGATGATGGTGGCGCTCGGGAACACGCTGGCCACAGCCTCCTCGCCAAGGGCCTTGGACTGCAGGAAGCGCGAGTTGGACGTCTTGTCGGCGCCGAGGGCAGACATGTGGATCAGGCGCTCAACGCCGGCCTCCTTTGCCGCCTCGGCAATGTTCAGCGCACCAGTCACGTGCACGTCCTCCAGTGAGAAGTGGCTGTCGTCAAGCAACATGTGCATGGTGGTGTTTCATGTGAACAAAAGCAACTGGGCATGATAATGCACGCACGCGCACGCGTACAGGCACAGGCACAGGCACAAGCACAGGCACACAGACACTCAGACACCGGCACACAGACACTGATACACACTCACACAGACACACGCGCAGCCACGAAGCAAGCTTCTGTACCGAGAGTCAGTGTCCTGGCCAATGAGGTTGATGACCACGTTTGAGTGCTCGACGGCACGCCTCACTGTGTCCTTGTCAAGCAGCTGGAACGGCTGTTTTGTGGCAACAAACAAGGCAGCCAAGGCATGCATGGGGCGGGCGCGTGAGACTGGCTTGGTTCGTTGCTCGCTGCGAGTGTTCGCCGCGAGTTTGTCGCGATGATCGCATGCGGAGCTCCGCCACGGGTCAGTGGATACGTAGAGACGTGGACACGAAGAACGAGCGCACGAACGTCATCTTCCCAGGCGATACCACACACACACACACACACACACGCACGCACGCACAACGCACCAGGAAGTGAATCTGGCCGAGATCTCCTGCAACCCTCAAGTGCCGGTAGTCGTGCTCGTCGCCGCGGAAGGGAACCACAACTTGAGAGCCAACCTTGCCTGCAAGAGAGGTATGGTGGTTGTGACACCAGAGAGGGAAGGATGAGTGGGAGTCTCATCACCTTGGCGTTGCAGAGCTCAAACGGAACACACACAGTGGGAAAGTAGGGGACAACAAACAAACACACAAACACACACACAAACAAACACACACACATGACTCACAAACACACACACACACACACACACAGACTCACACGCACACATACGACTCACACAGACACACACACACACACACAGACACAACTAACTCACCGAGGCGGTTGACCACATAACGACCCATGAAGCCAGTGGCACCAAACACGGTGGCGACGACGCCGCTAACGCTGCAGCGGCCGCCCTTGCCGGCGACCTGCACTGACGACTGAGCAAAGCAAAGCGATAGCAATAGCGTGTGAAGCAAGTGCAAAGCGCGTCAGCGTGCGTACCGTGATGCATCATCACGTTTGGAGAGCAGGCAGGCAGGCAGGCAGGTCGGGGGAGCAGCCACCACCAGCACAAACAACTCGCTCACCTTCAGGCTTCCCAACAGCGACATGATGTTGATGATTCTCAATATGGTGGTGAATAATCGTCATAATAGTTTATTTTTCTCACATCAACATCGCGCCCGACACACGAAATGGTAGGGTTTTATTTTTCTCGTTTGTGGTTGGATTTGAGTCGTGTGCAGGCTGCCCGGCAGCACCACGCCGGCCTTGCACATGCATCTGCGCTGGTTTGGGGTGCTTCAACCACCATCATCCACGATGGGCGATGATGTTTTTGCCTAATTTCGAGGTGTTGAGCGACGACGATGAAAGGATGAAGGCGAGCTGCCACCAACTCACCAAAGCGGGCACGACAAGACATGCCCAA